GGATTTTTCGGCACAAAAATTGAAAATTTCAAACAAGTTCACTCTAAAACTGTCTACAAACATGCACACACCCAGTTGCACACCTCGGCACAAAAATTGAAAATTTCAAACAAGTTCACTCTGAAATTGTCTACAAACATGCACACACCCAGTTGCACACCTCGAGCACAAACAGGTCCATTGACTCGGTCACCTGTTCTTGCCCACACAACAAATATCCATGCACGTTTAACTGACCAAAACCTGACTTATCATGATCCCTTGTCTGCCCATCAACTTATTTTTTTAACATAATTGTAAATTCATGCTCCCACATATTATCGTGCCACCATAGTGTCGACTGGTGTGACACCACTGTCGACATGTAAGCACTGACATGTCAACTGCTATGTTAGTTCCCTATCATTGTCGTTAACTATTTCTCCCATGGTGCTTACACAAGCAAGGAGACACACGTGTGCACGTGTGAACGTTCCCACATGCTTTCACTCATGCCCAGGATTGCACCAGCTTGTCCCTGTAAGTACCACTGCATCACTGCTCATGTTCGTACTTAGTTGTGGGCTCTACTACATTTTTAACGCATAATTGTACTCTTTTGTCGGTACAAGTACACATAGACACTCATGCATGCATTGCACCTCCAAATTCCTCCCACTTCCTTATGGTAGCTACCGCCATCACCACTAGATTCATGGATTGCTAAAAAGGAGTCTCTAGTTGTAGTTGGTCAACTACCATCACGACCAATTATACGTAAGGTCCTAATAGCTTGGGATGACGAATCTGTGGTATTCTAACCTGGATATCTCTACATGATCAGGATTACTCCACCTCTCCTTTTTTGAGCCCTTTTAAGCCATGTTATCCTTTTGACAACTAGTTGATGTCTTCTTGTTGGCCCCGATTGCTGATAGGCTGCCACCCATTTGGATTTGGTGATTCACCCTCTAACCTTCTGGCCTGGTTTGGCTTTGGAAGCATAGTGTGGGCCCTATAAATCAACTTGGTTATTTTGTAGGCCCCATATGCCGATGTTCTATTACTCATTTAGGATGTAAGAGATTCACTCTATGCTCTCTGGCTTAATGAGAGCTTTGAAAGTGTTAGAATGCTCCTGCAAGATAACCATCCTTCTTGGTGGCCCTTTTATGGTCATTATAATGTAAGAATGACTCCTTTTATTGAAAGTATTTTTGGGTATCCCCCTGGATTTAATAAACCAAAGGGATACTTTCCTTTGGAAGTGTCGTCATCTCAGAATGTTCTTTTTGGTTCTTTGGTTATGGGTGGTTTATGTAGAAAATTTCTTCGTAGATACAGTGTTTTGATGTTTTTTGATATGATATTATTCGAACATATACTCTCGACTTATCACATGACGATACATAAGTCCTTCATGTTTCCTTTTAAAATTTGTTTGTCTTTTTTTGTTGTATATCTCTTCTTTTCTAATTCCTCTCATCTTCGGATCATTTCTATAGTCCAAGAGGGATATTTACTTGGAAAGGAGAATTATACGATGACAACATATATATATACAAGCTGGTGACTCTGAGTTTTAAAAAAAAACCAAAAAACACCTTCAACATCTTATCAAGTCTTGCCTCTTAGGCTTGACATCCATGAGTATCGTATCTTCCCATCAGTCTTGCTTCATGGCTCCGACTTCCAACAGCACGGTAGCTTATCATCAATTTGTGCCTCTTAGTGTTGACTTCCATGAGTATTTATCTCTCCATCGACTTTTGCCTCTTGGGCTCGATTTCTAAGCGCATGGTAGCTCTCGTCCAATCTTGCCTCTTTGGCTTGACTTTCAAGAGTATTGTATTTTCCGATCGAGTCTTGTCTCTTAGGGCCGACTTACAGGGGCATGGTAGCTTCTCACTGAGTTTTCCCTCTTGGGCTCGACTTCCAAGGGCATGATTAAGGACCTTGTCTACCACTTGTCCTCAAGGAGATTTTCTACATAAAAAATCTTTATTGAGAAAATAAGAAATTTCATTGAAATGACTTTTTAAGTAACATCAAATAAAATTAGGAGTTTATAAGCCATTCTTTTACTTAAATTAGATAATTTGGAGTTGTACTTCTTATTATATAATTCTGATGATTCTCTTCTGGTTCTTATCACTCTGTTCATCTAAGTAGCGACCTAGGTGACCTTGACATATTAGACTTTCAATTTCTTCATTTAATTGAAAACATCTTTCTGTCGAATGTCATTTTGATGGTGGAAATGACAATATTGAGACTGATCTCCACCATCTTAATTTCTTAACGACCTTGGCCATTTGACTGTCTATTCATCTTTGATGGTCATTGGGATGTAGGCACTTGACGTGTTGAGTGACGTGTATTCTTTTTTCTGATTGTGGTACACGATTCTCCTGTGATGCAAACTTTTCTTGCTATGGGATTTGATTGGTATCCCTGATGTTATTCTTGTGATTACCCCCCAATCGCTCAAATTATTCTTTGTGTGCGACGATGGTCTCGTCTGTAGAGATTTGTGCTTCGACATGATGAATGAGATCAACATAAGAGCACATCCTCTCCCTCTCCCGGATAAGTAAAATGAATCTTTAATGATCCTTCTATTTGCTATGAACTGCTCTACGAATAATTTGACAAGCATGTTGAAATCATTAATGGTGCCCCCGGGGTGAGGGGAATACTGGATAAAGAAGAGCATCAGTGGCACGATGAATGTGCATGATGGTTCCATAGTGGTCGAGAGAATGTCCATATGGATCAGCTACCCCTTTATATGCATCAATGTTTGGGAGTTTGAAACATGCTTGGATAAGGTGTCGGAGAACCGCGTTAGCCAAAGGAGATGATTCTTGGAAGTTTCGGTGAGCAGTGAAGCAATCTCTTTTATCCAGAGAGAACTCTTCCCGAACTAGGCGTCGTCGGTCATCCTGAATGATATCAGAAGAAGTGATAGTAGGGCGGGACTGTGTCAGGTACGCTGCATGTGATGGATGAGTGGAACTTGTAATGTCGAGAAGATCAGTGTTTCGACTTGGTTGAGGAACAATTTCATCATTAGGAGAGAACTTGGTAAGTGGTGTATTTCCTGTTGAATTTTACACTAGTTGTAAGTAAGTTTCATTGGGTTGCGGTTGTGTCTCCCCACATAGGAGATAAAGGATCTCATGTTGATACTCCTCCATCCTACATACTCGATCTTTTAGAGAATGACCCAAGGCACCTTTGTCGGCGGGGTAATACCTTTTGTGGTAAAAGGATGTGGAAGCTTGATGACATTGGCTTCGTGACTGTCTTATGGAATGATGAGTGTTAGAGTGGGATGCTCGATTGTTCCAAGTGTTGTGTTTGGTGGTCATGCAATAATTCTTATAAGTATTTTAGTGGTGAGAATGCTCTAATTCCCATAGACGGCACCAATAATGCGTGCTAGAAAATTCACAGCGGTAGAGTAATGTGTTATCGTCTTGACGTTGCACAAGAATTCAGCACACACTAAGGTAAAAGAAAACAATTAGAATGACACCAAAGGTTTTTATTTGAAAAACTCGTAGAGGGAAAAACCACGAGGTTTAACCCAGATGTAAAATCCCAGTATAGGTTGATGATTACAGAGACCCCTTGTCCCACATATAGGAAAGATTTACTAGGATTTCTAAGTTACAACGTCGACTGGCAGCTTCCGCTCAGTGATGGTCGACGGTGATTGGTGGTGATTGACGTTGGTCAGTGGTCGACAATGATTGGTGGTGGTTGACGGTGGTTGGTGATGGTCGACGGTGAACGGTGGTAACAGAAATGTGATGGACTTCAGCTCGTTCTCAAAGTTTTTAGTTCTCTCTCAAGTCTCTCACCTCCTCTCATGAGATGGGTGGGGCTCTATTTATAGTGTTTTGGGTACAATTAATAATAGAATATAAACCATTTTGATCGGACAGACGTTTGATAGACATTTGAGTGCCTTAATGATATCATAATTGAGCAATCTTTGGCTTTTTAGATTATTCTTGTTGAGACTCTCGATTCGACTATAGGCTTGCTTGATTCGACATTCGTTTAAACTTCTAAATATATTCGAAAAACTTCCAAAAGTGGTTTAATGACTTAATTTGAGCTTGTTTTGACTCAGATTGGACTAATTTTGGTAACATCTGATTCTTTTTGTTGAGCATGTTAGTTTGATTGTAAATTTGTTGAATTCAGAGTTCTGGATGAGTTTGTATGGAGGCTTAAATATTTCTTGCTCAAAAAGTCATCTTGAGATTCGTGCCAGTTTATGAAAATTTCTTAGAGATGTATGAGATATATTATTTAAATAAAATTTGATTAATTGAAACTTATTTAATTTTATTTTTAAAAATAAGATATTATATTTTTATATCAATATGCATATAAATTTAACACAACTATTTTTTTTATTATTCTTTTCTATGAAATTATTTAAGTGATTTGAATGTAAAAAACTTACAACGTACAACTTAGACATATTTTTTATTTACTTGCTATAAAATAGTTTGATGTTAAAATTTATTCAATTACTTATTTATTTAGATTTATAAAATATTTGATAATAAATTTATATAAAAAAATAAAGTATTCATATCAATTTTTACCTTGATTACTAGCAAAAATTTTGAATAATTACTTGAATTTTATATAAAATTATTAACACATGCTTTTATAAATATAAATAAAATATAAGTTATAAATAATTTTTTTTACAATTAAATAACATAAATAAGCACTAGTAAATTATTTTATTGAAAAAAAAAGTGCATTAAAATTTTATATGCATATTTATTATTCTTAAACATATAATTAACTAAGTTATAATCAATTAAATTTTATTTAAATTATGTATAAATATAGGTATAGATATATGTGTGTTAGATATGAATGTTATTTCGATTAGGCGGCTTCGGCTCCAACACATCAGAGCACGCCTATAAATCCCCCGACGCCCAACCCCATGTGGCCTTCTCCCTTCCTCCTCACCCAAGCGAGAAATGCTCGGCTGCTTCACGAGGCTGAAACGCCCTTCCTCCATTACCCCTCCATTAACAAAATCCTCCTCCCATGCCTCCGGCGCCGCCATCTCCGCCCCCCCCCCCCCCGCCGTTTTGAAATCCTTCAACTCTCTCTTCGATCCCTCCTCCTATTCCGACACCCACACTCCATCTTCCTCCCAAACCCTAACCCTAGCATCCTCCTCCGCCGCCGCCGCCGCCGCTGATCATGATCTAATCTCCTCCGCCATCGCCTCACGCCGTCTCTTTCCCGCCTCCCCTGGTCCATCCAATTCCATCCTCGATTCCTCCACCGTAATCATCCGCCTTGGATCCGCCGGCGTAGCGGTTGCAACCTACACACCGAACCCCTATGTGGATTTCCGTCAATCCATGGAGGAGATGGCGGCGGCGATCGGGGTTTCCGGCCGTGGGACTCAGATCGACCTCGCCGTCCTCCGCGAGCTCCTATTCTGCTACCTGGAGCTCAATCGAAAACAGGCGCATAAGTATATTCTGAGCGCTTTTGCGGATCTTCTATTTTCACTCTTTAGCGAAGAGAAGGGTTTCGGCGGCCATGAATGAGGGGAGTGCTCTGGGCTCTGTTCTGTTCTGTTCTGTTCTAAGAGACATTCGTTTCGCATGTTTGCTTCAGCTTTAGCTTTAGCTTTTACGGGTGCGTTTGTAACGGGTGTACTACGTACTGTTCTGGAGCATACGTACATAGCAACTTATTTAAATATAGAAAAATATAAATGTTTTCGATAATATTTTGCATGATATGATCTGAACCGTTGGTTTGAGATCTGAACCGTCTGATTTATTCATCCGTCGGAATATAATTCTTATAGGATGACAAGAGAATAAGGCAACCTTTTTTTTATTTATATAATAATTATTATCAGAATGATACTAACAGAGGAAATAAAAATACGTATTTTACTTTCAATACAATTAATTGATGCATGTAAGAACATCGAAGGCCGTAGAGTAATGCAATATTGTTTACATTAAATCTAACAAATACTGAGATAATTAAAGAGAAGTAAGCAGGATGAGACACCACAATTTTTACGTGGAAAATTCTTGGAAGAGAAAAAAATCTTAGAGTATAGTTCAATTGAAATAATTTATTATGAATGATGACTATATATGTATTTTCTTCTATTAAATTAAAGAAGATGGAGTTATAAAGTTTATCATTATAAATATATAATAATAATTCATTAATAAGAGTTGTGGTTTGGCTTTAATGAATGTGACTCTCAGTAATAGCATATTGCAAGAAATGTAGTCGATTGTTATGAAAACATTGGTCATCTGTGAATGTTGTAGATGATTGTTGTAGTGTTAGTTTGTCGTATATAATAATAGTATTTTGTTGTGTGGGTCGTAGATGATTGTTTCAGGAGTACTGGTTGGTCATAGAGGTCCTTGTAGGAAGTTACAGAAGTTGTGAACTATGTAGGTCATAGTTGGTAATGTAAGTCGTAGTGGTGAGTTGTGATAACGTTTGTAGTTCGTAGAGGTTGGAGTTGGGAGTTACAAGAGATGTGGATCACGTAGGTTGTGGTGATGAGCTAAGATGGCGTTCGTAGGCCCCAGAGAACAAAGCCATGAGTTAAATGAGTTATATATCACGTAGGTCATAGTGGTGAGTAACGATAATGTCCATATAACACAGAAGTTGGAGTGAAGAGCTACACGAGTTGTGGACTGTATAAGTTGTAGTTAGTAACAGAGAGTTAGTGGTGAGTTGTGATGATGTTTGTAGGCCGCAGTGGTCAGAGTCAGGAGATGCATAAACTGTGAATCATATAGGACATAGTTTGTCACGTAGGTCATAGTGGTGAGCTGTGATAACATTTGTAGGTTGCAGAAGCTAGAGTCGAGAGTTACATGAGTTGTGGGCCACATATGTCGTGTTGGCAAGCTGTGTGATGTATGTAGGTTGTAGGGGGTGGAGTCCGTAGCTGCAAAAGCAATTAACCGCATAGGTCGTAGTTGGTCTTGTAGGTTGTAATGTTGAGCTATGATAACGTCTGTAGGATGCAATGACTGAAGCCGGAAGTTGAATGAGTTGTACGCCACGTTGGTCATAGTTCTGAGCTCTTATGATGTTTGTAGGGTGTAGAGGTTGGAGTTAGGAGCTACACGAGCTGTGAACCATGTATGTTATAATTAGTCATGTTGGTCGTAGTGGAGACTTGTGAGGAGAGAGCTTTAGGAGTCCGAAGAAAGTTGCCATCTTTCTGGGTGCATTGTTACATCGTCTAAGAAAGATGTCATTGCAATGTATTTGAAGTGCATTGATACACCATCATTAAGTTGTGTCATTGCACAGTATTCAAGGTGCATTGTTACACCGTCTTTAGGGCACTTCATTGCAGGGTGTATTGGATGACATATTGTTCAGTTGAGTGCTTCAATATTTCACAACATACACTTGGATTCTGCAACGTATGTTGTGGCTCTACAAGAGACTTTTATACGATGAGTAAGTTGTGGTCGAAGGTGGTTGATTGTGGCTAGCATGTGGTG